CTGCCTTTACTATAGAGACAATATTGGTTATTTGGACAGCTGGATTCAGCAGAGCAGACAAGTGTCCTGCGGGGAAAGTCTCCTACACGGTCCTACTGATAGAAAAGTCACAACTTCATTCAAGCCTATGGCCTGCACCCTCTCTGCTCTTTTTCCATTTGGTGCCCCTTCTACCATGAGCTGGCTCCCAGCCCAGAAGACAAGCCATCTCTCCTACTCTTCCTTAAGGGGTAGGTAGTGGAGCTGGAAAAGGGCCTCATGAGATATTAAGAGCAGTGTTGAGGGAGAAGGGAGAGGGACCTTACAGTCAATGAGGCTGAGTAGTGTAACAACGTGGAAGATGGGAACACAACCAGCAGTTTTCAGGTGACTCCCTTAAGAAGCAAAAAGTCTGTTGGCACTCTGGATATGAGGTAAGGAGGGAGAAGCAGAGAGATGAAGGCAGGGTGATGGCTAGGGAACAGCAAAGCATTAAGGAAGGATGGCATACATCAAGGACATAAAGGAAGATTGAGATAGACAGTTTGGTGCCTCCAGAGAAAGGCAGAGGACATCAGCAGGTAGGATTCAGACAGAAGTGGCATACTGATGTCTATGCAGCCATGCATGTAGAGGGGTCTTGGGAGAACAGATGAAAGGACAATATCAGTGGATACATTGCATGGTGGAAAAGGGGCAGTATTTGAAAGGAGAGAAGGGAAATACAGGAAATTTGGAAATGAGAGCTGAAATGCTGGAGGAGGGGGAGATCTTTAGACCTTTACAGGTGCACAGGAGCAACTCACACTGCTGGAGCCCTTGGCACAACAAAAACTATTTTCCTCTGACTTCGTCGGCAAAATGAGTTCACTGACTGGCAACTCCCTTCCTACCGCCTTCCCAGGAGAAAACAGCTTTTACTGCATGATCTGTTCAGCTCAGTATTACGGATCTCACATCTGAGTTCCCACCCTCTCTCAACATGAACAGCCTGTATTTTCTAAGGCCACAAACCACAGGTAACTGTTCCTCAGTCCTTTCAGCTCCCAACCAGCACTCACTAGCATGCCATTGGCACAACCTCACAAACACCAAGAGAAGCCAGATACGGTGTGACCCTTGCAGATTTGAGCACAGCCCTGAGGAAATTGGTGAGCTTAACCCTCCATAAGGCAAACTTCTAAAATCACAAACCCCCTATGAGGAATGGTTGGGCTTTGCAGGCATGTGCGTCACATTTAGCCATTCCTGCCTCAACTCCAAAATCAGCAGGGCACCAATAGTGGTGAAGGAGGAGGGGAAGAACAGAACAACATGGACAGGCTTTCACAGCAAGAAAGGAAGCGCTGTGTAGGCGGCCTGGACCAAGCAGCCCTGAATTTTAATTAGCCCCTTTTTTTTCTGAAGGGGCTAATAAAAGTGGAGAAGTCAGATGCTGGTCTGGCAGGTGCAAACACTGCAGGTATGTCAGGCCAGGCTAATTTCCTGGGAGAACAGGACTTTGGAAAAAAAGAGTGGTTGCAGTAGAGTTAGACATGCCTGGGCATCTCCTAGGAATCAGCCATGCTTTCCTGTGCCAGCTGCAAACTCTGAAAGATTTTTCATATCTAGATCATTTAATGTTGCTCGATGCATCAGCCTTATATTTTACAGGTACCCCGCCCTCTGGAGAAGTAATTTATTTCCTCAGGACACTCACACTGCTACAGCCCCTGAAGAGTGTCTTCTGTGTGACAGCCCCAGAAGGTGAGCATTTGGGGTGGTGGCAGCTTAGTCACAGGAGGCTCCTGACTGCCCCACCGTAGTCTCTGGAAAGATAATTCAGGGCTCACGTGTCCAACAGGATGGATTAAATAGCAGCAGAATGGGTTCAACTAGCTGGGAGTGTAAGCCAGGTAGTTCTCCATAGCTTACCAAGAAGGACCATGCAATCTGCTGCCTTTGCCAAGTTAAGAGCTCCAGCGAAGCACTACTAAGGGCTTTGTAGTACTGCTACAGCTCAGAACAACAGGCTCGGTCCTGCTGTTCCCCTCTAGTACATCTGCAATGCCTTCACCATGGAAAAAGAGCAGGAATCAGCTTCATTTCTCCAAGTGGGAATATGCAGGCTGTCTTCCCTCTCCCCATCCTTGTGTTTGGAGGCATCCATGGGCAAGCACATGTCCTCTGCAACTCCTGCTCAGTGTCAGCTCCTCGGAGACGAGTGCCAGTTAGGGCCAGCTCTGAGAACAGCTCTTGCAACACTTGCCCATATTATGTGGCTGGCCAAACTGGCCAGCTGGCATATAAAAATACTCATCCTTTCTACAGGGAGACTCAAGGGATACTGTGTACCACCAAGCAGCTAATCAGTTAAAAGCCTCCTAAGACAGCAAATCCTATGGTGAATGTTCTGGATGTTGGGTTTTTTGTTCTGTTGTTGTTGTTAAAATAACTGCCTAAACAATATATTTAACCAGCAAAGAGTGAATAGGGAAATTATAATTATGAAGCACAAAACCCCCAAAGATTAGCCTCAGGTGCTATAATCTTTTAAGCAAAGGCTGCCCTCATTTACACTGAGAAAATAAACACAAGAAAATAAACATGATGGGCTGTGGAACAGAGCCCTGACTTTAACCAGCCTCTTCTATCTCCCATTTTTGTGATCGCACTCTGCAAAACATTTCAGTTTGGTGGCTGCAGTCTCCTATGCGAAAGCTAAGCCCAAAATGCGGTGCACAGCTCCTGAGGCTCACTTAATCTTAGTTAGACTGGCAGAAAGAATGAAAGCAGTGTCAAGGGTGATACACAGCAGGCCCGCAGGAGCCACCCGCTGCCTGGTACCAAAGGAAGAGTTCCTCAGCCTTATCAGACCTCCTTGGTAAAGACTCCTCACATTCCTAAGGAGAGGCTCAGGACCAGGCCATTGGATAACCCAAAGCTCTGGGCAAGTGATGTGGAACAGGCCGAAATGTCTTTGATCAGTCGAAAGGAGAAAAAAAAAACCTCCACAAAAAACCTCACCATCCCCTGTTTGCTCTCCAACATTTGCTGCTAAGAGGACGTGACTGAGCTAGGAGTTAAGAATTCCTCCAGAGCAGAAGTGCTGATCAGATAACCTATGCAACACTGCATTTTAAAAATAGCTTGCAGTTAATGCTGATTTTTTTTAAAGCTGTGTTGTTATTACTGCTAATGTCAAGAAAGAGCACTGAAATAAAGGCTTTTATAACTGAGTGCACTTCGCACTATCCTTGGTTCTTGCCTCTGTGGTTTAAAGCTCTTGCCTCTCGGTTCTTTTAACCTGTGATCTCAAACCCCTAGAATTTTGCAGACTGTTTCTATGGGGTCCAAACCAGAAACAAGCGTATTATCACCATGTGTAAATTTCTTCTGAAATTTCTTCACCTGAAAACTGCAAGAATCCATAAACCTAAAAAGACTGGAAAAAGTGCCACCAGTTTGGTTTATAAGCCTTGTAGAGGATTACAAACACTGCAAAACAAGAGTAGCATTGTGATCTAATTGAAAGAGTTTGCATGCTGAGCATAGTAGTCTGTAAAATAAAAAGCCAGTATTTCACTATCTAGACTTGCAATATAGAAGTGCCATTAACAATAGAGAATCAAAAGATTATGTTTTCTGCATTATTTCATTCAAGAAGATTATAAGACAAAAGAAGAAAATGAAAAGGCACATACTGGAATTTTCTCCGAAGTAGAAACTAGCTGTGACCTCTTTAATGTATTAAATGAATTAATGCATTAAAGCTTCCTCCCCTCACCCTCGAATGTCCCTGTGGGAAGCAAAATTGTGCCATCTAGTGGGATTTAGACCAAGTCTTATCTGTGCATTCCCACTAGACACTACGGACACCCTACAGACCACCTCCACTTGAACGAGTTTACGTTGTAGCATGGACTTCTTTGGATTCCACTTTGCTCCCAAGTTCAAATCCCTCCTCTGCTACGGCTGCAGGGAGGATCTGCAGACGGTCTGTTCACCCTGCCAGGCCTAGGGGCAGAGAGGACTTTGTGTGTTCAGAAGAGGAAAATTCAAAAGCTCTGTCAGGACTTGCAGGATGGCCAGTGTGTCACGCACAAACAGGCAATGCAATTTCACAAGGGCAGTGACACAAACAGGCAATGCAATTTCACAAGGGCAGGCCCGGAAAATAGGGGAAAGCAAGGGCAAATAGAGCAGGGCTGGCTAGGGGGAAACGTTTCACTCCTTGAGCCGGGCAGCACTGGCAAGGTAAGATACATCCCACAAAGGGTGTTTTTTTCCAGGGGACGGGGGAGGGGAAGTTGTTTTTTCATTTATCTGCTAAATCCGTGTTTCTTCTTGGCTTCTGAGTTGATCGGAAAGATGGGGGAAAATTATTTTTCATGAGTATGACTTGGTAAATTTGAAACACCAAAGCCACGGGGTTCACCACGGATGAAGGCTCTCCCACTTGCCAAGCAGCCAGCAGCCTCAGTTTGCTATGCTGCACAGCTATAGAGCTGGTGTATGCAAACAACACTGTAACACAATCTCATTTCCTGGTACTCTTTTGTAACCTTAGTTAAGCAATAAGCCTAATATAGATTTAAGTACAATCTTTTAGTCTTTGCCCTTTATGGATTAATATATCTTTATGCCAGACAGGCATTTCACTGCTTGCAATTTTTTTCTTCTGTGCTAGTGGTAGGGGAGAGCCATATAATGTACGACTGCAATACTAAGATCGGTCCAAGTGTTGCAAGTGACTTATATACCTATCTAATAAAACCTGATAGAGGTCCTTTGGGAGCACTCATTAGTGCCTCAGTCACAACAGGTGAATGAGTAACAACTCCATAAGGAGCTGTCAGTATCAGAAAAAGTAAAGTTCACTGGCCAATCCTCAAATAATTAACAACTCTTCCCTCTACAAATGCAGTTAGAAGTGACCTTTTCCAACAAAACATAAGCTGTTTTTCTCCAACTCAAAGCATCCCGTGGAATAATTGGATCAGCTCTACGCACCAGCAGACCTTTGTCTTGTATGAATCAACATGGAAAGGAATCTTAAGAATGTTTTGGTCATCTCTTTCGGATTTTTACTTCTCTTCACTGCTTATGGAGGACTCCAGAGTCTACAGGTAAGTGGATCATCTCCCACTCGTTGGCAGAAGACCTGGCCTGAAAGGGCATCAGGCCAACTGATTGTGTGAAACCAGCCAGTCTTTCCACCGTTTCTGTGAGGAAGGCATGCACAATATTTTTTTGTGGTCGGTTAGGGCATCAACTTGGTGCAGGTTAGTATCCCTCATCCAGATCCATAGCATTTACTAAATATTTTATTCTAGTACTTCTCAAATAGTTTGAACACTTGTGTCAGACAAGTATCCTTTAGGTCCACAAAAGCTGTTTGAATGAAAACTAAATTTCTCTGAGATTTTTCTCAAAATAATGTATTGCAAAATGGAAAACAAATTCCATTTCTGGAAAGGATTTGTTTAGAAGGATTCTAAATTGCTATAATTGGAAAACCATAAATCCATAATCAGGCTGCTTTGGGGAAAGGGGACAGTAATACCTAGCCCCAGCTTCCATGTCTCTATTTCTGCCTGAAGCCACTCTCTGTACACCATACTAACACATGCCTGTGACAAAATTTGTCTCAGCCGCTGTTTTTGTCCATGCAGAGCAGTCTCCACTCAGAAGAAGGCCTGGGCGTTGCTTCCCTAAGTGTTCTCTATGCTGCACTCATCTTCTCATCCATGTTCCTCCCTCCAATCCTCATCAAGAAGCTGGGCTGCAAGTGGACCATCGCAGGCTCTATGTGCTGCTACATCGCGTTCTCCTTAGGGAACTTCTATGCTAGCTGGTACAATTTAAATACTTTAACCCTGTCTATTGTGTTTGAACAAAATCAGTAAGGGTAAAGTTCTTTCTTCTTTTTCTTCTCTTTCCTACTCCATCTCTGTGTTGCGGATTTGGAAGTTGGATGTGAAAGGTGTCACCTGCAAGAAACAGGGATAAATAAATTGAGTAGCCGGTGAAGCAGAGAGGTGAAAATGTGAAAATGTGCAAAAAGCCAGAATGAATGCATCCATTTGCCAACCTGAAGCTGCTTCTCTAACTCATGGGTGTAGCAGAAATTTTCCTTCAGAAAAAAGAAATAATCAGAAGTTTCATTTAAAGTCCAAATGACTTTTAGGACTGTTTTTGAAAAGATTGGTAAGGGAGGGCTCTCTTCCAGCCAGTGGCTCTGGGAGCAGAGGATGACAGGAGAAGGCCAGCTCCTGCCTTGGCTTTTCGGAGGTGGATGAACAATTTACCTCTGCTCTCCAGTGACAGGGGATGCAACTCTTTGGAGGAAAGTTGTTGTGATCCATCTTCTGAAGCACAGGTGCAATTTAATTCTCAGTTACAAGGGCACATGAGCACAGACCTAGCCAGCCGAGCACAGACCTAGCCCCTGGACGCAGCTGGGAGAGCTTGCACATTCTAAACTTCATGAGACTGGCCCTTTCTTGGTTCCATGCAGTAGATTTATTGAATCACACAAAGGATAAATCTATTTCCTTGATGTCTATTTTTGCCTCTGGATCTTTGGGCAAATGATTATTATGCTAATGGATGATAACTATGCTAAATAAAGTGTTCTTTGGCAGGTACACACTAATCCCTACCTCTGTGATCCTGGGCTTAGGAGGAGCACCACTCTGGTCTGCCAAATGCACTTACCTCACCATTGCTGGCAATTCATATGCTGAGAAAGCAGGAAAAAATGGGAAAGACATTATCAACCAATACTTTGGGGTCTTCTTTCTGATATTTCAGTCCTCCGGCATCTGGGGAAATCTGATCTCATCCTTGATATTTAGCCAAGCTTCCAACAAAGGTAAAATATATTTAAAAATCTTGGCGCTTGTCTCTATAAACATTAGCTAATTCTAGATAGTTAAAAGGTAGATTTCTGTAGCTGAGCTAGTGACCCTCAATTGCCTTCATAGTCAGTGGAAATAGACACTTTAGATGTGACTTAGCTCATGTGAAGGTAGATGTCTGAAATAGATGGGCTAAATTGCTCTCTGGAAGTGTCTATTTTCTATCAACTCTTCATCAGCTATAAAGAGAGTTCAGACAACTAGTGCAAAAAATAGATGTCTACTGAATTCCTTTTGAAATCCACCCCTGTGTTGTAAAGCATAGATAGGGTGCTGGCAGTGACAGTCTTTCACATCTGACTTCTGTTTAAAGTGGATTAAAACAAAAGGCAAAACACTGAAGCAGCCTTTTCACAAAGCTTGCAGTATTGGATTAATTTGCTGTTAAACATTCAGGGTTAGTCAAGCTGATGCTGGTGCTTGCTGAAAATGAGTGCTTTGCAGAATTGTCAAGAAACAGAAGTAGCTGTTGGCAGGGGTCTGCATGCCAGGGCTCCTCTGCTGTATTTCAGGCTCAGACAGGAGATGCCGAAGTAGCTTGAAGAAATCACTCAACAGTGCTGCCCTTGTTTCCCATACTTGTCATTGGTGTAAGCTCTAAAAGGGCAGTTGTGAAGATAAATTAATACTTGGATGCCACCTTAGAAATTCAAAGTGCTACAGTAATTACCATTGCAGTCTCCCGTGCATTCCCTATCCTGTCAAAGTCAGAACAGGATGGACACGGAAAGAGCTTTCTATATACACTGCTACTATGAATAGCAAGAAGTTACTTCTCTTCCCTGGCTCAGTTAAACAGTATGTCCTCTGGAGGGTATTCAAATAGGTTTTCAGTTAAACCTAAATGTCAGGGAGCTGGCATCAGGTTTTAACCTTTGAATCCTTGGGTTTATGGCACAGTAGTTGTCACAAGGTGTGATACTTACGGAGAATCATGTTTCCTTTAAACTCAAGCAACTATAGATGAAACACCATCAAAGCGGAATGCTGAAGGACTGTATCAAGTGCAACGGAGCCCTGCTGACCTGATCACTGAGCCACACAACGTCTCAGGAGGGAATGGCCGTTCTGGTTTCATTTGCAGGGCAGAGGCTTTGGTGCAGCTATGGGGTCTGCACAGACTGCAACCATTTTACTCTCCTCTGCCTCACAGCACACATCATGTTAAGTGATGTTAATAAGAGGATTAAAATACTCTTTCTATCTTGTAAATCCTCCCCTAGTTTCACACCTGAGGATGCTTCTCTAAATTCTAATGAAACTCTAACTTTTTCTTATTTTGTATCAGTTACATAGGATTTCAGGCAATGCTGTACTCCTGGGAGGTGTGCTATGAACAGCTCTCAAAGCCAAAGGCCTTGTGTATCTTCACAACAGTGTTGAGCAGTCGTACTAAGCTTCCCAACTGTGCCTTCTCAGTGAGACTCAGCTTTAATCTAGAGGGAGCTTCTTGCAGGGGGGTAAGGGTCTCCAAGCACTCACTTCTTTTCCTTTCCTCTGACAGTGCAGCAAAGATATCCACCCATATTGTCCATATACTTAAAATGTATAATTCCACTGAGCAGTCAGAAAGATACGGTATGTATCTGCAGAATCAAAATGCATAGAATTCAGACACGTATGTACACTTGACATACTGCCTGCATCACTGCATCCAGACACAGCAAGGCAAGCTACACCATGAGGTAATACTACAACAGAAGACAGTAATTAATGTAAATTACAAGTCATCCTTTCTCACTCATCAATATTGCAGCCTTATTTCCAAAGGAACAGAGCAAACCCTGTCTTGCAGCTTCCACATCACTAATTGCATGTGCATCTTCATCTTCAGATGATGCATGAACAGATAAAAAACTTGTTTTACACACTTCCACACTTTTTTAGTGTGACTCACCTTTTGCATGTGGTAATTTTGCTGAGGGTCTGAAATAGTTACACAATAACCCTAACTGAAAAATTACAGATCAAGTCCTGTTTGAGGAATCAGCCAACGTACACTGTATTGCCCTTTATTATGCTTGGACCAATGACAAATTCTGCAGTGAAAGGACTGAAATAATTGCATGTTTTTTTGATCATCCTTCCCCACTACATAGCTTATTCAGGCTCACACTTTGGGTTAGTATTTTTTGTTTACGGAAAGGTACTGGAGGAAGCGGGCACAGTGTTGTGGTGACATACAGGGTGTGTGAGTACACGCACGTGTGTGGCTTTGACACATGCCCAGCACAACACTGATGGGACTGAACAAAGCAAAGGTCTTACTCCAAACCCTGCCCAACTGTTCTAGTTTCAAGTATGTTCTCAAAGAGTAATAAAGCCAGTAACAAAGTAATAAAGCCAGGAAAAGCTGATTTCTTGGAAGACTGCATTCAGTGGGTAATCGTAATTTGAATTTATACAACAGAAAGATGTCTCGAGGTGGTTTCCGTTCCTATGATGTATACAGAAATTACCTGGAGAGGGATAATGTGCTCTGGCTGTAAGAGCTGAGGTCCATCAGTTCAGTGGCGGTGTAAACTGAGGGACCTGACTTGTGGGGTATTATGATTAATAGGTACAGGTACACACTGGAACTTTAAATACTGCAAATTGAGCTTGGATTCAGATTTCAATTTCTGGCTTTAGTCCATGTCTCCATGTAACCATCAATTCAGTGTTCTGTCTTGAGCAACTGTTTCTGTTATTCAAATTTTTGTGTGTTAAACAGGGATTCTGAAGTTAAACATCTCTAATCAGGAAGGATTTGAAATCACCAAGTGCTGGATTCCCTTCTCCTTATATCCTTACATATAGTGTGTACTCATCTGATCTCTTCCCTGTCATGCCTTTCTTTTGGTTCTTACTGAATTAGAGGAAATCTCAGAGGAGAACCTGGCATGCTGCGGAGCCTATGACTGCATGACTGATGCCACTAACACCACTGGGTCAACAGAACCCTCCAACTCCTTAATCTACACTCTGCTAGGGATCTACACCGGTAAGTAATCCACACAATCTTTAATGAATATCACTGATGAGGAACCTACTACTTGCGAAACCTAGCATGACTTTGCAGATTAAGTTTCCAACTTCCCCCTTCAACCCAATTTGCTAAATGGAAATAAGATATGTGAGAGCTGTAAACAACTCCTTCCTAAACAGTTTCAAATGCTTTGTGCCAGTGCCGTATCATTTTTGTCTAAAGGAGCAAGACATTCTTTACACTTTTCACCTGGAATAAAGCTGAACCCCAGTATGGTGACCCCACTGTTTCCCCCAAAGTCAGCGTTGCTCTACAGACTAGAATCAAAAGCATGCCCACATTGCAATTAGAGGATTGCAGCAGCTTATCCAGTTATGCATGAGATGATAGTTTTAAATTCACTATCTTCAGGATCAGCAATAGCGAAGTAGTTACTGATGGCCTTGGGCAGATTTATATATGAATGCAGAGGTCCAAGATGCTAAAAGCGGCCCAGCTAGTGGTACCTGAACTCACCAACTTCTAGTCATCTGGGGACGCCTGTCGGAACTGGCTGGTGTCCTACCACATGTAAAACAGCTTCAGCACAAGAACTACACTGTAATTAGAGGTGGACCTGAACCACGGCTCCCAGAACATGCAATCATTTGGGGAGAGGTTTTTGGATCCCTGCTGAGATTTTACAACTTCAGTCAATTCTCAGCTGTGATTCTTGAATTATAATACCTTAGTGTGAAAGACGAAAATAAAGAGAAGCACTAGGCAAATTGGCATGTCTCCCATTTAGTAACTACAGCTGCTATAGACCTTTCTTGCATAAGGCTAGAAAGGAATCAAAGACAGGGAAGGCTGATGACATCAAAAGCCAGAAAGACAAAAATAGATATGCACTGAGGAAAGTTCAAAAAGTATCTGGCTCAAAACAAGTTCTTCTCTGGATAAAGGGGAAGTATCTGGCAAGGCAATATGTCACCTTAGCTCTGTTAAAATACCTTTGCGGTCTCTCCACATAGATATACTCTCTATGCTGAGACAGATGCATGGAATTTGTCATATGCTCAAACAGAGAGTATGTGATCTGGTCAGAGCCAGCCCTCACCAGACAAGCGCATCACAGCAAACCCTCCCTCCTTCCCCAACCTCCATTCCTAATTGGTGAGAAAATGCAAAGAATATCCCCCCACTTCCCTTCCAGAGCGTGCTGGAGCTGATGCGTTTCTGCTAAAGGCAGCTTTGGCTCACAAGTTTAAATTTAAATTTGATGACTAACATATACAGCACTCCCTTAGGCTTTGCTCATGCAAAATGAATGCAACCCTGCTGTCTACTGACCCGGCGCCAGTAGGGTTTCATTTTTCTTTTAAGGTCTTAATAAAAGATATGTCTTTTCCTACCTCGAGGGAAACCAAATAGCTAAATATTTCATTCACAGACATTTTAAAAATGTCTCCTCTATTTGGTTGCTGAATGCATATTTTGCCCAGCTTGGGTGGAGCAATAATGGAGAAGTCTTTTGTTGTTTAGTTTTCTCAAGGACTGTGGATGCTTCTATTTATGATCATACCAACCACTGTTAAGCCATGCAGTTTATTATCTCCTGTAATTGCTCTTGATTCATTTGACATATTTGTTAGAATATTTGTCCTGTAAATGTGGATGTCCTGCTCTCACCCATATAAGTTCTGCAGTCAGCCCATAAGCACTAATAAACAGCCTGGCAGAACTGACAATATGACTTACATTGTGAAGGGTTTACAGCTCAGCCACAGTGGAGAACCAGGACACTGGAGAACACAATTTCATTCTAGGAGACATGGATGAGAAATAATAAGCAATAAAAAATTGATTGCAATTCACTGTAAATCTGCTAATATATTTGGACATTGAAAGTTCACAGAAAAGAGCAGGCCCATACACAGTAACACAGGAGCACATTAAACAGACAAAGTGGATGGGAAGAGGTGCCTGGTTCTCCTCTTACTCTGAACTCTACTTTTTTTCATGGATGGATTTCTAGTCAGCATAAGTAAGAGAGGAAACCTAATCATGCCTTGCATCTGAAACGAAGCAATCAGTTCTGAATCTGTGGCTGCTTCATGTATATTATGAGCCACAGCTATCTTCCTGATAACATGAAAAAAATTGTATTGATTCACTCCACGAGCAACAAACCTACACCGACACATACATGATCATTTTCTGATTAACTACCCCATCTATTCTTTCATATGCTGCTTCTGCTGTGAAATTATAAGTTCAAAGCTGTAACTTACATCTTTTTCAAGTCACCCAGAGTTGCTCACTATCATCTTTAAAATAGCACATATTCTGTATTCAAAGCATGGCTCTGAGCTGACAAAAAAAAAAAAAAAAAAGCAACATATACTGGGATCCAAGACAGCAGTTCTACTTCTAGCGCTTTATTTTTCTTTCCATGTATTTGGAGGAAGATCCCTCCTAGCCATGAAAACCTTGGCACTGGAAGTGAATATTCCTCTCTCGTGTTGATCTAAAGTCTTTTGATAGCTCCCGAGGGAGCTGTTTCTGGCCAGCTCCCTGTCCCCGAGACCCCTGGCTTGCCCTGGAAGGGTGAGCGATCACCCTCTGCGGCCACGCAGCTGGCCCGGCGGCTGTCACAGCAGGCCCGGCGGCTGTCACAGCAGGCCAGGCACAGTTAAGCTGAGGGGATCTGTGAGGTACGCAGCTGTATGCAGAAGATGTGAATGTAGATCAGGCCTTCTTGTTTACACAGAAATGGCCTTTACACTGCAGTGGAATCAGAGGCATCTGCCAAAACATCCCACAGAGAGCTAAGCTCGAAGTCAGAACAATAACAGCAGCAAGCGACTTCCCATCATTCTTCCAGCATTCCTCATTTTTTCATGAACTTTTTGTTTTGTTTTTGCAGCTAGTGGTGTGCTAGCTGTGCTGCTGATTGCTATATTTCTGGACCAGATCAAACCTGACCAAGCAGAGACCAAGAAAGAAATACTAAAGACACCATCCTTTTGGTCTACGTTCCTAGCAACTTTCCAGCATCTTAAAGATAAAAGACAGTGTCTTCTAATCCCTCTGACAATGTACAGTGGGTTTGAACAGGGATTTCTTTCTGGTGACTACACAAAGGTGTGGATGACAATGAAAATCTATTTCTGCCTGATTGATTGGTTTTTGTGCCTTTGTGTCTTACTATTGCATCTGATCTATGTTTACTTGTTAAATGAAGATGTTTTCAGTGGTGATTTGTGGCTTGCTAAATTACTGCTTACTTCTACTTGAATGAACTCTGAGTGACATCTTCAAACAGGAGAGGCCAGCAGTAAATATGTCCCTTGGAACAGCCTTAAAAAGAACGCTATAGAGAGCTTAACTCACCAGTGGAGGCCACAGCAGAGAGCTACAGGTTCAAACTCTTCAGCTTGTTGTAAATAACAAACTGGGAGAAAAGCCAGAAGTCTGCAAAGCTTTTATATCTTCCTTCCTTCTGGTTTCCCTAGAGTTTGTGTAAGTGCAAGTCAGCATACTTACCACATATTTTATTCTGAGAACATTTACGGTAAGAGGGCAAACCCTCAACGTGGCTGGCTGAAAGCCCTCACCAGTCACTAGTGCAACAGGTCCAAACCCTGACAGACTGAAATGATCAAAACCACCTCTGCTCCTCCAGTTCCTCTACAAACCTAGACCCACAGCAGGCATGTTCTCCAGACATTCATTGAGAAAGCCTCCAAAGAAAGGGGGCAAACTTCTTGAGCTGCTTATTTGACACTTAAGCTTTCAAACCTTGCATATAAGCAGACGGAAGAGTGCACTTGCTGCTGTGTTTGAATGGATTCACTCCATGGCCATCTCCATTGGCTGCACACTCTTATAGGTGAGGTCCTCTTCATTTCTTGGGAGCTGCTCTGTGATGACCACAGTGGCGACTGTCAATTTTCATCTCTTGGGCTAAGAAGGGAAGGGCAGAAAATTCCTAACACCACTTCCAGGAGTTTTATTTGCATAGTGAGCAGTGCTCCAGTTTCTTCTCCTGCTTGTTACTGCTCTGTTTGCATGGCATCAGTCTGACAGGGAACTGAGGTAGCAATATCACTGCTGAAGGCCAACTATATCAATACGCCAGGGACTTGTCAGCAAACTCTGCAGCTGTGCTCCTTTGATTTCATCCATGCTGGCTATTTACCAAATACTCCGGGCTAAGACCCTTGAACCTTACCTGCATATTTTCACTGAAGAAAACGTGTCACCACTATCTCTTCTCTTCCAGACGTATGTGACCTGTGCCCTGGGGATACATTACGTTGGTTATGTGATGATCTGCTTTTCAGCTGTAAATTCCCTCTGCTCTCTGCTGTTTGGAAAGATCTCTCAGTTCACGGGTAGAAAATTTCTGTTTGCATTAGGTATGTAAAGGTCACCTGAAGGACTGATCACCTCATGTAATATATCAAATCCAGTGCTCCCCCTTGTTGTGGTTTAACCCCAGCCACCAACTCAGCACCACACAGCCACTCGCTCACTCCCCCCTGGTGGGTTGGGGAGAGATTTGAAAGGGTAAAAGTGAGAAAACTCATGGGTTGAGATAAAGAGAGTTTAACAGGTAAAGCAAAAGCCACACACGCAAGCAAACCAAAAGAAGAAATTCATTCACTACAACTATTGGCAGGCAGGTGTTCAGCCATCTCCAGGAAAGCAGGCCTCCATCACTCATAATGATTATTTGGGAAGACAAACGCCATCACTCCAAGTGTCCCCCACTTTCTTCTTCTTCCCCCAGCTTTATATGCTGAGCATGACGTCATATGGTGTGGACTATCCCTTTGGTCATTTGGGGTCAGCTGTCCCAGCTGTGTCCCCTCCCAATTTCTTGTGCACCCCCAGCCTGCTCGCTGGTGGGGTGGTGTGAGAAGCAGAAAAGGCCTTGACTCTGTGTAAGCACTGCTCAGCAGTAACTAAAACATCCCTGTATTATCAACACTGTTTCCAGCACAAATCCAAAACATAGCCCCATACTAGCTACTATGAAGAAAATTAACTCTATCCCAGCCAAAAGCAGCACATCCCCTTTACATGCACTATAAAGGGAGAGCTCGCTGTCATCTATCAATTAAAACCAAAGTCAACCTGGAGGCAAACATCATTCATGAGAAGAGAGGCAGCACAGTTAACCACTGTATTGAGGTCATTGGCTTACATCACTTTGCTGGTGGTGTAGTTCACCTTGCTTTTGAGGGCGCTGTCTACTCAGAAAGTGCCCTACAGCTTTGATGCTTCACAGCTCTAATGCAACCAGTGATAAACAATCTCACAACACAGATGTTGAGGCCTACACTATACCTGAGAAGGATTTCTCCATTGGGGTGAAACCTCCTTACTTTTATGGAGTGAAAGCAACTGCGAACCTCGTGAGATACATTGATTTGAGTCCCAGGGGATGGTGAACTTAGAATTTAAGCAACCAGTCTATGAATTTCAGGAAATTTTTTAAAGTTTGGCCTGGCGTTCTTTTCACTACTTGCTCTATAGAGAGAAAAATAAAAGGAAGAGTCATATGCCAGTGTGTGAGCCTAAAATAACTTGAGGGCCTCTGTACGGGTCAGTAATTTTCAGGCTGGCATGAGAAGAGTTTTGTATATTTAAGAACATCTTACTTTCTAGAAAACACTGTTCCAATGAGTAACAGAGTAATGCAGGCAGAAAAATACCGAGAAATATTTCATTTGTGTCCCTATATCCACTAAGGTATTCATACTGAAGTGCACTGATACCTTACTTCCACTACACAGTAACCTGTATTATTAGAAACGTCACTGACTGAGTCAATGTGCATCTGGACATTCCTGCCATCCTGTGGCATTTCCTCCACAGGAAATTTTAAACCTGGGCAAGGAAGAAGAAATTTAGAGTCCTTTATGCTACGGTCACTAGTTCAGAGATTCTTCTGTACATGTCTGTCCTAGGTGTATGTCTCACTCTATGAAAATAATTTTAGATTTTAAAAAAATCCATATAAAAATAATAAAACACCCCCAGAGTGTTAGTAATGCAAGACCTCTGAACCTCTCAGTTCTGTCGAATGGTCTTTGTACTCAGCCTGTAAAGGTGTTCCTGTGGAGGAATCGGTGACTCGTTTACATTCTGCTTTTAAAAAGAAAGATAAAAAGTCACCAGACCCTATAGATATCCTTAACTATTTCTGGCCCTGAAAGGAAACCTGCGTTTAAGGACTAGGTAAGGAGAGCAGAAGGGTGCTTCCTCCCCCTTCCCACAGGCCTCACATGATGACTGCAAGTCTTTCAGCAGCCCCTTCTCCTACTCAGTGGCAGTTCTTGTCCTTTGGGCTAACAGCTGTATCAGCGCCAAGGATCTCTCAGCTCAGGACACTGCTCAGAATTATTAATTGAAGCCTGCCAAAGGATTGCATTGTCTTGTATTTCATGTGATATCAACTCAGTCAGCGCAAATCTCAATGAACCAGAAAGATTTTAAGATTGCCTTGTGCTCTAGTTGGGGGAAGAATTTGAAAGTGTTATCTACCGCTATCTGTCCTGTTTGTAATAGGATTTATATTTCTCTTCTTTCTTTCTAAATCAACAGCCACAGTTACAAACACCGCCTGTATAATAGCACTACTGCTGTGGAAACCTCATCCTAAGCAGCTTGCTGTGTTTTTCGTATTCCCTGCTCTTTGGGGCCTATCTGATGCCATTTGGCAGACACAAACGAATGGTAAGTCCTGGTGACAATGAAATGAATTTTCTTGAGATAGAAAAATCTGCATGTTTGTATTTATAAAACAACACGTGCATAAACATCATAATAGGTTTAAGAAAGCACTAAAAGAAATACGTTAGCTCATTGGAAAGTAGAATAAATAAGAACAAGTTGGGAATAACAAAGTAAAATACTCATTAAACAATTTTTTCCAAGATGAAGAGAGAAGAACACTGCAGAAGATGATAATGGATATTCAGAATAAATCTTCTGGAGGAGTATAAGTATTTCAAAGAAAATTAGAAAACTCAGAAGAATGATACATTTAGTCTGTCTTTTGCAATAAAGGAGAGCACTCTGGATAAAAAATCAACTCAAAGCTCAGCAACAAAAGAAGAAGCAAATTGGCTGTTAGGAGTTATTAGAAAAAAATTGAAGGAGAAAACCACAGAGAGCAACATTATGCAACCAAGTAAATCCATGCAGTTCTGATTTGCTTCATTTCAAAAATCATAATCGAATACGATAAGGCATAAGAACGCAATAAAAAGGAGCAGAGTCATGGGAGACTTCCACTTGAAGGAAGACTAACAAACTAGAACACTTTAGCCTGGACAAGTGATAAGTAAGGAGAGCAGTCAGTAAGATCATGAAGAGTATGGAGAAGGTGATTAGAAATTCACTGTTTGTCTTAATAGCTAGTGCCACCAAATGAAGTTATCAGGCAGCAGGCTTTATAGAAATCAAAAGAAATGCTTTTTTCACACAATGCATAATCAAAGTATGGAATTCATTGCCAAAAATGTAAATGTTTTTAAGCTGGAATTACATCATTTCAGGTGAAAATGTTCTTGGGGGCCATTAAAGCCTGATGGTCCAGAGGAAATCTCCAACTCAGAAAGTCCCTATGTCTTTCGTTGCCAGAGTCAGGAGGGCATTGGGGGAGAAAAACCACTGTATACTTGCCTCATTTCTTACAGTCTTATCCTAGGAGTCTGTTACTGGAAGTATACCCTTGGACTTCTTATCTGATACATTATGGTTGGTTCTATGATCTTTTATGTTCTGCTGCTTTGTGATACAGTGCAATTATTATGTACTGACAGTTCAGATAATGAGCTGATATAAACTGACTTCTGTAAGGGATTATTTAAACTTATCCCTCAACCAAAACTAGAGGAAGTTCTCTTATAGTGACTACAGACAGGATCTAAAGTGCTGGAGAGGGCAAGAAAAAGCTATAGTCTGTGATGACTTGAAGTAAAGTCTGCTAATCACTGTCAGTCACACTCTTTTTAAATCAATGCCATAGCCTGTGTCGGTAAGACAGTTACATGCTCTCCCATCTGCTCCCATATTTTCCCTCTTATTTCATGAATATTGTTTTCCTCTCTCTCAAATTCATATTTGGCAGATGCCATAGGAATACGCATGTGACAGAACTAACTCATCTGGACCCACGTCAGGTTATGTGTCTTGGCCTCTCTCTCTCTGGTCCCTCTGGGTGCTTCAGTAGCTTAGATGATTTCACCCACTAAATAAATTGTCATGTTCCTCCTAGAGAGCCAAAGGGAAAACACCACAATCCTCTGCCTGGCACTAACAGCGATCTCCTTTCCAGTACTTGTAGCGTCCCCCCTCTACACACAAGGAAGTGACCAGCCAGACTTCTCTGCCCCTCCAGCAGCTCCAGCTCATATACCTCAGAGGAGAGAGAGCTAGTACATACATAAAGCGACACCCTCTCATCTTCTCTCATCCCAATCCACAGCCTTGTGCCCTTGGTACAATTTTATATCAGTGCTCTCATTATTCAGGTTCATGGAAGGACAACATCAGTGAGGATTTGCTCTCTCTGAAGTAAAGCTGTTCATTCACTTCCTGCTTCTTCAGCCACAGTCTTCCTGACTGTTCATCAGGCTCCTTCCCAACACTCTTGAGAGCCATATCTTAGTCTCCCACTGCGATAAAGGACGTATCCTTTTTCTTGCTTCTCTCTTTTCCAGAAAGCCTTGCCCTCAGACACTTGGCTTCTTTCAGAATCACAGAAGGGTTGAGGTTGGAAGGGACCTCTGGAAGTCACCTTGTCCAACCCCCCTGCTCAAGCAGGGCCACCCAAATTCAGCTACCCAGGACCATGTCCAGTCAGCTTTGGAATATCTCCAGGGAGGGAGACTCCACACCCTCTCTGGGAAATCTGTGCCAGTATTCAGTCACCCTCACAGTAAAAAAAGTGTTTCCTGATGTCCAGCGGGAACCTCCTGTGTTTGTGAACCTCCTCCAGCTTGTGCCACTCGCTCCTTGTCCTGTCACTGGACACCACTGAAAAGACCACGGCTCCATCCTCTTCAGGCATTTGTATACATTTGAGATGTCTTTTGAGAAAGACATCTCCTCAGAAAGGTCCCTGCATGCCTGATGAAGAGGCACCTGGTGCCCTTGTTAGGAAAACGGGTAAGTACAGAGGACCTAAGTGTCAGAGAAGGAGGCTGGGAAGTGGCCGCAGTTCCCAACCCCGGATGAGGCACAGATGGTGGACAAAGTTTTGTGCTTACTCAATGGTGAGTGAGCTCTGCAGTGGTGTGACAAGACTGACCTCTATAACAGCACTGTAACAGGTCATCTCCATTCCCAGATTCCTGCAGGATACTTGTGAAACTGTCACGTTTGTGTTAGCTGGGAAAAAAAGAAATGTTCCTTATGCTTGCACAGTATCTTTTTTTTGTCTTCAGCTGTTCCATAGCTCCCAGTTATAAAATTATACAGAGTTTGCTTTGTCACATTGTCACTCTGAAACATCAAGTGATGACATGAAACCTTAACAGAGAGGTGCAGTGACCTTACGCCATATTGCTGCATCCCAGAACAGGATCTTCAGTTTGACATGCCCATTTAGGACTAAATCTCTTCTCCCCTTCATCAGCTTTATACAGATATACATCCCATAAGAAATTCCCAGCACCAAAGGCTACGAGGTGAGAGAAGACCTCTAAAACAGCATTGGGGACTGAGGTCTGTGGTCCTTCTTTTGGCAAGTTCCCATGATTGCTGCTTGGGCCTCAGTAGATTAACCACTGAATAAATACAATGGCATTGTGCTGCATACTTAAGGCATTTTATGGTAATTGAAGATGGCTTACGTTGGCCTGCTGTGGATAGTTAATACTGGAGTTCCCCCTAGAGGATATATAGGCTCACAGTAGATGAGTCGCTTTGTCTTATAAAGGTTTCCTAACATGTTTGTGTGCATCTGTGGGCACTCTCATTTACTTCCAGTGAAAGCTGCTTCATTTCAGAGTGTGTAGTGCCCTCTCTTATCTAACCTGAACACAGATGCTATTATTACCCCCTGGCAATAACTGCACTTGGGGCATAACAACTGTGTAGCACAGAGCTACCGGGTAGACTACAGTAAAATGAAGTTCTTTCCAGGCTGACGTCCGTCTTTAGAAAAGATACGAATCAGTCTGGAAAGTTTATAAACCTGAACTCAAATGATTTCCAGCAGTCCTGTTATATACCCATGCCTACTAGTACCAGGGGAAGGAGTGGGAAAACAGGCAGTGGTAAACAGGGAGGATAATTTGCACGAAGTGAGCTGCGAGAATTCAGAGCTAGCAGCCTCTCCACTCAGCCAGCCCGGCAGGTCCTGCTAAAGCTCCAGCCAGGCAACTTGCGCCACATTGCACTCGACAGTGTGTGTGATAAGGACAAATGTTTAGGTCTGAGGCAAAACCACCATTGTGCTCCTGTGTAACTGCTAGCTAATACCATATATGCATCTCAGAAACGAGAACTTCCCTGCCAAGTCAGCCTTTCCTATAGCTGAACCTTGGACTAGACCCCACTCAATTCTCCCATTGTTTTGATCAAAAAAGAAGGCTTCAAAATAGCAAGGGAAAACAGGTACTATCTGAAAGCCAGAATCTTTACATATCAGAAACCTTCCTATATTAAACTCTCCTCACTAATCCCTTTTCGGAAGATAACACAGGGCATATCAGCAAAGTTACATGAACAACTTGTACTTGTTCATTTATTAGGCAAAACTATGAAGGATTATCAAATAATTCACACTACACTACACTTGGGCAGCTTAATGAACTAAGTACATCTTGTGATGCGCTTGTCCAGGTTTTCCATCATGGCTAAATTGAATCACTCGGTAAATGTCCTCTTATAGTCATCAGGAAGCAGTGAATTTTTACATACAGATGATGTCTCCCCTTTCTTAACAAAACTGAAGGGTTAGTTGAGCCTACCCAGACTTCTAGAGTACTCCTCTGTGCCTTTGGGCTGAACGTGCATATTTCGAACAGATGTGTTGTTAGAGAAGTGGATGAGAAGAGTCAGGGTTCATGATATTCCTCCCCTTCCCTCCCTGCACACCACAGCTGAGCCAGTGGAAACACCTGCTTCTTTATCACCACTGATGCTAGCTCAGCACCCGGAGAAAAGCAAGCTCTGTCCCCTTCCCTGTGCGCCCAACCAGTCAGACCTGGAGGCTGGGAAACCCTCCCTGACTCACAGTTGTGGATGTGCAGCTGACTGAACTCAGTGGGAGCTTCCCATGCATTTCACATGAACAGTCCCATGCCTTAGGCGGCTGAAAGAAATGGTTTGAAGAACAGGTAGATAGTGCATGCAGAGTCCATGCAGGTTCCCCACAAAAGTGGTGAAGGATGGCAGCAGGGAGGTCCCTATGGTTCTTTGATCCTTTCTACCCCACACTGAAAGAGCATCGTGGTCCTTAAGGACCATGTCCCTAGACAAAACTGCCTGTTCTTTGAAAGCCTGTAAGGACTTGGTATAACCTTACCAATAGTTACACATGGAGACTCTACAGTGTCAAGGGCCATTCCTGGCCATCTGCTCTTCCTCCTTACTTGTCAGTGCAAGAACCTTCCCTTTTGTGGCTGAAAATTTGAAAAATAAACTTTGTGCCATCTCACTTCAATAGAACCCATCCTTTCTTCTTTCCTCCCGTTTTCTTTCCCTTTTTCTCTGATATTCTCTATGTTGTCATTTTTTCTCTGTTATTTCACTTATAACAATCCACGTGAGTGCAAAAATGTTTTAAAACAAAGCTTGTATTTTCCCTTCTCTGGCATTTATGAAGGAGGGTCTATCTTGCCCATTGTGGTTTATTTATTCACTTTGCAGAAAATACATGGTTTCAGACTTCACAAGCCGTGTCTCTCCTTCCTTCTAGGACTCTATGGCATTTTATTTGAGAAACACAAGGAGGCTGCCTTTGCCAATTACCGTCTCTGGGAATCATGTGGATTTGTCATTGCCTTTGGTTATAGCACCAAATTGCAAGTCTACATCAAACTGTACATTTTATTGTCTGTCCTTGTGTTGTCTATGGTGACATACGGAGTGGTTGAATACCTCGAAGCTAAGAGCTCCCCTGGGACCCCTACGACTACAAAGAAGGAAAATGTAGGACCCCTCACCCAGGAAACATACATGTAACCCAACAGGGTCAGAGTGATGGAGGCAAAGCAAACTGGCCGGCTCCTAAAGGCATGTCTCCAAGGGTGTTCCAGCATGTACTGTCTCCAGAAAGGGGGTAAAGGAACAGATTTCAAGACCAGTATAATGCAAATGTCTTAGGAGTAAAAGTCTCTTTTGACATCTCAGCTTTATAAGTGAAGATTATCTGACTTCACCCTTTCGTACAGATGATGAACTATATGTTTTCTCTTTTTTAATTAATAAAGTCTTAATAAATGCAAACAAGACTCTTAAAGTCCTCACATTTTTGTATCTGTGGATCAGACCTAGTACCATAGCTTTACAATCAAAACTGAAAAGCCCACATCAAGTTATAAACTGGCTATATCTACAGTTCATATCTGAACACCACAAAATCTGCTAACTGCTGAGTCCACCAACCTGTCTTAGGTCAGCAGACAACTGTGTTTCTGCCCATGTCATCCCTCTGCCCCAGTG